ATAAGAGTAGCAAAATTACAGTTATGAAGTAGCAAAGAAATAATTTTACGGTTGGGGGTCACCACAACATGAGGAGCTGCCTTAAAGTGTCACAGCTTGGGATGGTTGAGAGCCACTGTCCTAAAGTCTAACCATACAAATTTGAGAAATAACCAAACACATCCTTCAAATAAGAACCAAAACAGTAGATTTATATTCAGTAGGTACCACCAACACCAAATTAGATGCAGCTTAAGAAGTAATTAGTCAACTGGAAAACAGTACACATATATATATGGAAGCCAGAAGGTAGCAGAAACTATGTCACACACACACACACACACACACACACACACACACACACACACACACACACACAGAATGTAGTTCTGAGAGATAAAATGATGTGAATTATTAAAGTTGAAAGTCACAGAGGGTAGAAGGTTGAGTTTACTTCACACCCATATTGGATTTTCCATAGGAAAAACGTGTAAAGACAGCTTTAGGGTTAAACGCTAATGATTCCTTAGACTTGTTGGAAATTATTTTTCAAATTTAGGAAATCTAATAATCTGAGAAAAGAGGAGAAAGACACACACATGGTGGGGGAGAGAATATTTAAAACAGAAAGAAAAGGCAAATACCCTATAGACAAGTGGTCAAATGGATGACTTATTAATAGTCATACTGAAAGCCAGAAGATAGCAGAAGATGTATTTTTAATGTGCTAAGAACAAATGTGTGACCCAAGAGGAGAAGCTTTCTCTGAAGAATGAAAACGAAATTCCCAGCTTGCTTCTCCTGCCGGGTGAGAGCTCTCAACACAGAAAATGCTAGCATGTGCATTTGGGGAGAAAAGGAATGATACAAAGTTTTAAATTCCGGAGAGTAAAGATAGTGTTAAACGTGTGGATCAAATAACATAGAACTTCATGAAGCAACAGATAAGAAAAATAGTCATCATTGTTTATGAGCTGGTGTGTATGGGGCGTCAGATGGGCTAAACCAACAGCCTGAGAGACAGAAGCAGACAGAAGTGATGGGAACCCGAGCCTGCTAAGACCCTCCTCAGAGGAGAGTGAAGATTTTAGCCAACTCTGGATTTCAGTCCACAGCCCAGGTAACTGTTAAGAGAAGCTAGACAGAGGAAGAAACTCCCAAGTAAGCAACGCAGGAAAAGAAAAAAGAAGGGAGGGAAGGAAGGGAGGAAGGAATGGAGGGAGGGAGGAATGGAGGAAGGAAGGGAGGAAGGGAGGGAGGGAGGAAGAGAAGGAGGGAGGAAGAGAGAGAGGAAGAAAGAAGGACAATTATCTTACTTTCACCAGAGGCAGGTGGGTCAAGAGGCACAGGGAGAATGAGGTGGGTCAGCCGAAATCCAGGTGACAAGAGAGAAGCAATAAAGCCACATGTGCGTTAATCACGATTCATAAGCATATGGCCCCCAAACCACAGGCTATCAATCCCAGCTTCTACCATTAAAACAAAACAATGCTGACCAGAAGGTAGAGCTACATTGAGAGGCACTAACCAGAATAAGATTGAGCCTCTCCAATAAAATCATAGGCAGGCAAAGGGTTTTCAAGGTTAGAAGGACTACTCTATTGTTAAATGCCTGTTGTCTGGACAAACAGTAACACTACTGTGCCTACAGGTCCTTAACAGCACAGCTAAAACATCAAGTAAAAGTTCAATAAAAATTATAAGAAACTGAAAACTTGTGACATCATAGGAGATTTAAAAAACAACTTGTTCAGTTAATGTTGGAAAAATGCAGGGAAAAATTCAGAAATACAGAAAAGTTTAGCAACAGGTGACCAGGTGACCTGACATTTATTGAACTTCAAATTTATATTTGCATATCTCCTTGGCATGCACATAAAATAATGAGGAAATGCTGATTTAAAAGCTGGCCTTTTAATGTGAAGGGGTTAAGGTTTTTCAGACCACCTCTGTAGTTAAGAATGTGAATATAACCAAGAACCTGCCTTAGTTACTTTCCAATTGCATGACAAAGCACCATGACCGAGGCAGCTTGGAAAATAAAATGTTTAATTTGTGGCTCATGATTGTAGAAGGCTAGAATCCGGGACCTGATATCATGGTGGGGAACATGGCAGCAGGCAGGCAGACGCAGTGCTGGAGCAGTGCTGATTGTTTACATCCTTATCTGCAAATAGGAGGGAAAGAACTAATTGGGAATGGGTGAGTTTTTGGAACCTTAAAGCTGTCCCCAGTGGCAAACCTCCTCCAGCTAAGTCACACCTCCTAATCCTTCCCAAACAGTTCTACCAAATAGGGATCAAGTATTCAGACATTTGAGTCTGTTTTTGAGGACACCAGCCAGATTTGATTAAGGACCTGCCAACAGGCAACGGTATTTTAACTTAATTCTCTCTTTAACAGCTGTCCTGGGAGATACTGGCCATTAGGGTTTCGGTCAGTGAAGTGGGGAGGAGGTGATTCAGGCACCAGCAGCTGTTTTGGGAGACAGAGAAGTTGGAGACTCAGAGAAGGCAAGCAAATGGTGAAGACCATGTGCTCAATCAGTGCCACAGGCAAGGAGCACACAGCCAGGTTCATCTGAATGCCAGACTCCTTATACTTGCTGACCGCACACAGCCCCACACTGGAGGTGGGTGGGAGATAAAAAAAATTAAAAAAGGTCATAGGGAAAACTAAATAAGAAAGAGAGCAGAGAGAGGAAGAAGAGGAGAAGAGAAGGGAAGGAAAGGGAAGAAAGGGGAGGGGAGGGGAGGGGAAGGGAAGGGAAGGGAGAAGAGAAGAGAGGAGAGGAGAGGGAGAGGAGAGGAGAGGAGAGGAGAGGAGAGGGAGAGGGAGAGGAGAGGGAGAGGGAGGGAGAGGAGGCGAGGGAGAGGAGGAGAGGGAGAGGAGGAGAGGGAGAGGAGGAAAAGAGAGGGAGAGGAGTAGAGGGAGAGAAGAGGAGGAGAGGGAGAGGAGGAGAGGGAGAGGAGGAGAGGAGAGGGAGAGGAGGAGAGAGGGAGAGATGGGCCAGCAGCTAAGAACCCTTGCCGTTCTTCCAGGAGACCCCAGTTCAGTTCCCAGCACACATGTCAAGTGGCTCATAACTGCCTCTCCAATGGCCTAGGAATCCAATGGCCTCTTCTGGAATCCTCAGGCACCTGCAGACACATGGCGTATACACACAGAGACACACAAACTTGCCTTTACTTTTATAAAAATGAAAACAGAAACTGACCAAATCCAAGGAGCACCATGTGGTCAATCCCTCCTTAGAAACACTGGGGCTGAACATCCGCAGCGTACGGGTGGGGCTGTCCTGCAGGCTCCCCTTTCAGAGCTCACTTTGAGCAAAGACTGAAGCTTTAGCTGAGGCACTCTAAGAGGCCAGCAATTCAGCATCAGCAGAAAACCACCTGCTTGGGGGGAGCCGGGTGTGGCTTTTAGACCAAGACAGTAACATCCACTGAGCTCTGAAAATGAAGGACCCACAGACTTGGCTTTTTTTTTCATTTGTGAGTGACTGCTGCCCTCTGCTGGCCACATGTGGGAATAGCCAGAACAAACGACTTCCTCCACAGGGCACAGTTCTAACTAGAAAACACTTGGAATGACAGGCCTGTGGGTCCACCCTCTCTAACCTCCAGAGTTTTCAAGTAACAGCACAGCCAGCTTCAGTTTTCGCACAGTGTGACTGCATATCTGTTGTAGTACTTTCAGTGTGATGACTAGAAGGCAAATCGTGGTGATTTAACCAAGTTTTATCACTCCATGCTTCCAAAAAACAAACAAACAAACCAACAAACACCATACAGTTAGTTAATTAAGACAGGTCTTCAAGCTTCTGCAACTATGATTTACTGTGTGATAACCTGGAACTCCCACCATTTGGTTGAAGTACTTTTTAAGAAAAAAAAAAAAAGTATACACACACACACACACACACACACACACACACACACACACATACTGGTTTTCACCACAAATAGTATCAGAAGTGGCAGAACAGGACTATAATTCTGGCTGCTTGGGACGCTGAGGCAGGAGTGTTAACAAGCTCAAAGCCTGCCTGAGTTAGAGTGAGTTCAGAGCCAGCCTAGGCTATAGACCTTGCTGTTTGGTTTCCCACCGGAACTGGACAGGAAGATGCGGTTGCGGGACAGAGATAGCAGGCTGGGACTTAGCGGAAGTTCCTTCCCCGACGGCTGATTTGCACAATGCCAGACAGCTGCTGCGGACAGTTGCTGTCAAAGGCATTACTCAACTGTCGACCTTGGGTGCTACCTTCCAGGCGGGACATACCCACTGGCGAAACAGTGGCATGACTGAGATGGGGGATAATCAATGGCTTTCTGGGTGTGATGCTCCCTCCTAGGAGGGAATCCATGTCTGGTACTGTAGTCAAGAGCCTGTGGCTGGAGAGATGATAGCTCCGGGTGGGGGAGCTTCTGCTGGGTTTTGTGAAATGGACATTAGATGTTCGTCAAAATGCCTTCAAAACATTCGTGTTGGTGTCTGTAGGTTTGTTCTGGTGTGAGCAGCAGCTGCTGTAGTCAGCAGTGACTGCCTAGACTAGTAACTGGTCCAAGCACTGAGACTCAGTGACTGCTTAATGTCCAACCTTAGAGGGGACGACATGGTCACCCACTGCAAGGCTTGGGAAACGTCATGGAGTTGGGGGGGCAGGTGTAAGAGCTGATGGAAGGGGTGGGGTGGTGTGGAGTGCTGTTTTCAGCTCTGACATAGTCATTGCATTCTTGAACTCTCAGAGGCTGCGGTCACTTTTACAAGCCTGGGCTCATCACCTTTCCCTCACAGGCAGGGGGCGCCCCAAGTCCTTTCCCTCCCTGACAGTTTATAAGCAGCTGAGGGCCGCTTCTTCAGTGGTGTTACCACCAGAAGGTGCCCATTCTCCTCTAACTAGTCTCCTACCCATGTTCCCGGGTGGAAGCCACATTAAAGCCATTGGTTTGCACACACGCGCGTACACGCAGACACACAATGTCACACATGCATGAAAAACGTCACAACGAAACCAATAGTTGTGTATAATTAATATATTCTAATAAAAAACTAATTAAAAAAATAGAGCCATCCTGGGCAACTTAGTGAGATCCAGCCTCAAGATAAAAGGGTGAGCGTGGCTCATTGGCAGGGCACATGCCCAGCATGTCAAAGGCCTCAGGCTCAGTCCCCGGCACACAGGTTTCTTCAAAGCCCCCAGTCAGTGGTTTGTGCTTTTAGGAATGTTACTTTGTGAAGCGTATTTGGGGAGAATGCTCAAAATTCACAAAGGATCCCCTGGAGTTGGGAAGCATTAAGAAAATGCCCGAAGAAGCCATGTTCTCTAAGAGCACCTGAAATCCCCAGACAGCGTGAGGATGTGTGAGGCTGTGGGCCTCAGTGCTCTTGGAATGGAGAAGAGCGGGGGCCTCAGTGCCCCTCCTGGTGCTGTCACCACAGCCATCATCTGAAATGTGCTTCAGACCACAAAACGTCTTTCTTCTTGTTGGAGGTATGTGCTGCGCCTTTGATCCCAGAGCACAGTGAGATCAGCTCCTCCACAGCTTCACACAGCCAGCCCCATGCCCACCCATCCCAGCCTGCTGAGGCCACCATTCTGGCCTCTTTTAACTGTCCACTCCTTCGCCCTCAGGATCTTCCTGTGACGCCTTCAAGCAGACTTCCTTCTATGTGTGAAGACCAAGTTTACCGATCTGCTGTTCACTTCCTGTCTTCCCCACGGGAGTCTGTCTTGTTCTTGCCTGTGTTCTCAGTCTAGGGAGGACTTATGTGTCAGTGAGTGAGTGAGTGAACGGATCGAGCTAAGGAAGGCATCCAGATGGGAAGAACACGCAGGTGGGTCTGTGCAGGGCCTCAACACAGAGCTCATTCCGGAAATGGAGGCCTTGACCTTGGCAGAGGGGGCTGTGGCTGGAGTCAGGTGACAGGTGGAATTCCAGCTGCACCCTTCTCTTGCATTCACACTAACCCTCAGGATGACTCCCTACACTTGAGAGGGGAACATCTGAACAGCTCAGGAGCCTGAACTACTGGCCTCTGCTTGGAGGTGGAGGACAGAGTTGTGAAGGGCACCAGCCACCAGGCGGGGCTGTCTGTCAGTGTGTGGCTCCTAGTCCAGCTGGCTGGAGAACTCTCCAGCAGCAGGCTAGCACACATGGCCTGCCCTGAGCCCATCTCCATTCTCCTTGGCAGACAAGAAGAGGCTGAGCAAGGAGAATCAGTCACTTGGGGAGCTGGATGAGCGCTGTACCCAGGAGAGGTAGGAAAGGTATTGAAATGCTTTTGTGGCCTGGCCCCTCTCTGGCATAGAAAGGATCCTGGCAGCCGACAGAGGAACCACCCTGAGAATGAGGTCAAGCAGGAAGAAATGAAGCAAGGGTTCCTTTGGGCCACCTCAGGGCAGAGTGATCTGTGGGTTCTTCAGGAAGAAGGCCACCTTCTGGGCCACAGCATCCAGCTCAGTTGGGTTGGCTGACTGAAGGAGGTTGCTCTTTGGGACAAAATAGTGCTTCAGGAAGTGCTGGCTCACACACCTGTGCAACTTCCGGACCAGTCGCAGGAGCGCTTGATGGAAGACCTGCCAATCCTTGAGGTGGGGGTATTTCTCACAAGTCCAAAAGAGCACGGTCTGTGGAAGAGAGATGATGGGAAGAAGTTGAGTTTTCACGGCTCTGGGAGGAGGAACAAGGTATCTTAGGAAAACTGGATTCACCAGGAACTCATGACCCATTGCCTCAGCTGGGCCTGAGGCTTACCTGGCTGGCTCCTGCCTCCCAGTTATTCTCTCTCCCTTTCCTCTGACACCCTGATCATCAACACTCTCCCAGGGAGTCAAACCCTGCTCCAACCAGAGACCCTCTGCCTCCTGCAAGCCCTCACCTCCCAAGAACCCTACAGGATCGACTCCCCTCTTAGAAGATGGCCTCTTGGCTTGCTCTCCCAGTACAGTCTTCCCCTCTGCAAGTCCAGGCACCCAGCTTAGTTCTGGTCTTAGAACTTCCCTTCATCTACTCCTGTGGGAGTCTTCTGCCATTGATCCTGAATGCTGCTCTCTCAGCCCAAGCTCTCCAAGCATCAAGCTGAAGGCCTTTTCAGCCTTACCCCTTCTCACCTTTCCATGGGTCTGACAGTTGGCCCACACCCTCCCTCTCTAACCAGCTGTCCTCCTGGCCTCCAAGACAGTGCTCTTCCAGGCTTTCTCCTCACACCGCAGCTAATCCTCTTCAATGCACCTGCCCTTGCCTCCTTCCGAGTAAGATGGGGGACTCACACAGGGCAGGTACCTTCTCCAGGCCAGATTCTGCATCTGGCCTCCTTAGGCTCGGGTGTCGGAAAGTTACCTCCGTTTCAACATGCCCAGACTCAACTCATGACCTTGGCCACAAACCTGCTCTGCTTCTCGACCTGCTTATCCAGCCAGCTGCGCCAGACACAACCTGGGGCAGCATCCTCCCTGTCACTCACAGCACAAGTTGCCCATCTTCCTGCTCACTGGTCCCTCAGACCTGCCACTCAGCTTCATCTCCCTCCCCCTGCCCTCCTTACCACCTCTTTGGTAGCCACCTAATCTGTATGTGCCTATTCCAATAATCAGCCAATCTGTCTTTTTTTTTTTTTAAAGTCTCAATCTTCATTGTTTTTTGTCCTTTCACAGATCTTCTCGCTGCTGGTTGACTAAGAACACAAGACAGGGTCTCACTATGTAGGCCTGGCTGGCCTGGAGCCGTATAGACCAGTCTGGCCTCATAATCACAGATATCCTCCTGCTTCTGTTTCCTGAGTGCTGGGCTTAAAGGTGAGCACCACCACAGCTGGCTAAGGATACGATTCTTAACATGCTCTGTGAGGCCTGGTCCCTGCCTTGCTCGCCAGCCTTACAAGAACAATATGGAATCAGCCTAGCCTAGGCGCCACCATCAATGAATGGACAGGGAAAACGGCACAAGATACAATGAAGTGCTGTTCATTGAGGAAGAATGAAGCCCTGTCCTCTACAGCAAATAGCTGGAAGCAAAATGGAAGGACATGTGTTAAGTAAAATGAGCCAGAGACAAACACCACATGTTCCTTCCCACACATGGAACTAAAAGACAAAGCCGATCTGAGTGTGGTACGATAAGGACTAGGGATTGGGGAAGGGTGGGGTGAAGGGGGCACAAAGCAAAGAGAGGTTGGATATGAGTACTGTACCTTGTACACATGGGTAAAAAATGTCACACCAAACTCAATTATATATGCAATTAAGCATGGCAATCAAAAATAATCAATTTTAAAAGGGCGTGTATTTGAGTCCTAGATGAATGAAGAACACTTGCTGATCATCCAGGACCTGAGTTCGGTCCCCACTACCCTGGTCAGTCAGCTCACAAGGCCCGTAACTCCAGCTCCAGGGGATCTGACTCCTCCTGGCTGCCTCAGGCACTTTGACATTCGTGGAACATACTCACACAGACACACTTTGGCAATTAAAAATGATAACATGTTTTTGATATTTGAAAGAGTGGATAATGTCTTCAATTAAAGTGGGAGAGGAGGAGGGAGGGAAGGAGGGGGAGAAGGAGGAAGGGAGGAAAGAGAAAGAAATACCAAAGAATAAAACTGACCCCAATTCTCACCAGATATAAAACCAACTCAAAATGAACTGTAGTGCTAAAATATAAGGCCTGAAACTATGGAACTAAAGAGAGCAAGGGTGTTATCACAGGCAAAGATTTTTCTCTGCCAATGTTGAGTGAGACAGGAGAGGAACTGGCAGACACATGCTGCATACTCCCAGTCACAAGAGCACCAGCACAGTGGGCTCCACAGAAGAGAAGGCAACAGCGATTATGAGGAGTTAGGGAGGGAGGGGAGAAGGGGCAAATGAAGGTTGGATGGAAATACTAAATTCCACAGGAGGAATCTGCTTAAGTGCCTTCCGTCTACAGCAATTCACCCTGCCCTGAATAACTAGAGGAGCTCAATCCGCCCAACAGGAGGATTGGATGCGCATTCTAAGAGAAGGGAATGCTGATCACCCTGGCTTTACATGTGTCTCAAATCCCTACCTACACCTCAAAATATTATGTGGTGCAATGTGTTAAATTTGTACAATGAATCATCCTTAATGTCACATAAAAAAAAAAAAAAAGCAGGGAGTGGGGAAAGGAGGGGGCGGAAGAGGGCAGAAAAGAGAGGTCAGGGAGGGAGCGAAGGAAGCAGAGTTGCTATCACCACCGGCACTGTATGACACACAGCTGGGGTTTTATATGCCCCCACGAGCAGAAATGCATGCCGGGTGGACATCTTTAACACACAGTTCCCACAGCCCTGTCCTGATCCCATCACACACCAGGACCCGCCTAGAGACGGTTGCCCCGACTCCCCCCACCACACCCCGAGCTCACCTGCAAGTGTTGGGTAGTGATGACGGGCCTCCTCCCTGGACACCACACATCCTCCTTCAGCTGCCTCATGACCCGAAAGCACTGCTTGCGGCAGCCCCCGTCCTTATCCAACTGCTCAAACAGCACCTGTTCAGCCTGGGAGAAACTCAGCTGCCAATGGTAGCTGGACCGGGCCACCAGGCTGAACCCAAATGACTGAAAAGGAGAAAACGATTGGGAGAATGAGAAGCACAAGGCCAGCTGACATAGAGAGCCAGAGCCAGGGGGACCCACAGGCCACAGCATGTGGCATGTCTACACGATGGAATATTACTCAACCAATAAAAGAGAATGGAATCCAGTCATTCATAGGAACATGGGTGGAATTAGAATATATAAAGCGCAATAAGCCAGGAAAAGACAACGGGCATACTGAATACTCTCGCTCTGGTGGGGATGTCAAAACATGGAGGCTTCAAGGGCAGCGTGGGAAACCTCGTGAGCATCTTGAGTAGGCTCAGGGAGCAGCAGCAGCTGAGAGCCCTCTACAGCAGCTGCTTTTACCCATGCCAGAGCTCTTAAGGACTTACCAGCCTTCACCTAGGCCATGGGCTTTGCCCCGCCGCCCCCGTGCTCACACCATCACCAGCAGAGTAGGGGACACACAAGGAACAGCAGCTCTACGGAAGCCCCTGCCTCTCGGAAAATGTATGGTTGATAACGCAACTGGCAAAGCTTTATGGAATGAACCCCCGCCTGGTCCCCGCTACCTTGACGCACTCCACCTTCTCTGCGGAAGGCCATCGCTTCAGACACCGAGGCCACTGGGCTTTCTCCGACCAGGCGGTGGGGATCTCCACCGTGGGGGCCAGCTCTAGCTCCACCTGGCCTGCGGACGTCTCCATGGCAAGCCGGACAGCCGTGCGGTTTGCTAGCACACTGACCTTGCCTGGCGGGGAAGAACCAGAGGGACACTTGAGAAGAGAAAGCCTTGCTCTACACAAGCAGCAGGACGAGAATCAGTGAGCAGCCACTCCGGCCAGCAGTTCCACAGACACCACACGTTCAGCCACCGTCACGGTGTTACCGGGAAAACTCACGGAGTCTTCCCTTTTCTCCTCCCTCCTACAAAGCTTTGAAACACGTGTTATTTTAGGGTTCGAATGCATGTGTACGTGCGTTCGTGCGTGCGTGCGTGCATGCGTGCATACATGTGTTGTGGGAGATTGAACCCAGAGCCTCACACAAACTGATCACAATACCGCTGAGCTATAACCCCAGCCCAGCTGCTTCCCATTCTAATTGTAGGTTCTTTTCAGGAGGTTCAACGGAAGTCAGAGAATAAGATGGGACAGGGTCATACTGCTTACTGTGAGGAGGAATCTAGCACTTCTGCGGCCTGCTCCATTCCACCTGGTTCGGCAGGGAAGGCAGGCGAGGGTAAGGACAGAGCTCTTCACTGTGGCGTCAGAATCTTGCTGACGGGTGGCCCTGACCCAGCCTTTCCCGGGGTGCCTTCCAGGGGAGTCCTACTAACCTGCCTTTCATTGGAATCAGTCTCACGGATGGTGTTTGCCTCTACCATCCGCCCTGGGAGCCAGCTTCGCCCAGATGTATTTATTCTCCTAAACCCGCCTGATCATAAACCCCCACAGATCATGTCACAGCTGAGCTGGAAGGGGTCAGGTGGATAGGAGGGATTTTCCAAGCAGGCAGAGAGGAGGAAGTGAGTGTGTGTGGTCTTTCCAGCTCTTGAGCCAGCCTGCCCTCATTGCCAAGGCTCTCCTTTTCAAAACAGCGGATTTCTATTTTATTGGATTATTTTATTTACGTGTGCGCCTGCATGAGCTTAGATGCTCCCTGTGCGTGCAGCAGCCTGCAGAGGCCCGAAGAGAACGCCAGATCCCCTGACAGACCGGATCCTGGGAGCTGAACCCAGGTCCTCTGCAAGAGCAGCAGGTGCTCCTAACCGCAGAGCCATCTCTTCAGCCCCAGCACTTGGGTGGTATTTGTTTGGGGGTTTGTTTGTTTGTGTTTTGGCTTTGTGACAGATAAGGATGAGTGTTTTGACCTAGGTTCTGTCATTCCATTCCTTTCTTCTTAGGGAAAGATGGAAGCTTTTAACTGTGTTTGGCTGTCCGGAGCTATAGAACAGTAGACGGCCCCTTGGCCTGCACCCTACCAGAGAGGCCCTGACGATGCCAGGGTAAGGAAAAATGCTTCAGCTTTGTTCACTGAGAGCTCCTCACTGGACTGGCCCAGCCTGCCTCTCTCATGCCCTCCTTTCACGACTAGACCATCTCCAGGATCCACTGAACTTGGAGCCAGCCTGCCCGGCCCATGGCCTGCTTCTGCAGATGTGGGTGGCCCTAGAGTCTGGCCTCAGCCAGTGGCTTAGTCTGCCTCAGACTTTTCATTCGTAAATAGGTACAGAAAAGAATTCTTTCCATCCCCCCCCCCCCCAGGCTGGCCTTGAAGGATGACCTTGAATTTCTGATTCTCTTCTCTCCACCTCGCAGAGGGCAACGATCAGAGGTGTGCAGTAAAGCATCTGATGTACGCAGCACTGGGGAACCGAATCCCGGTGTTCTGCACGCCAGGCAAATATTCTACCAACTAAGCTGCGCGTGACCCGAGTCTCAGAATTAAATAATCCATACAAACACCTTCTATAATATCCAGGAACTACAACCAGGGCAGAGACTCTCAGAGCTGTTCTGTTCAGACAAGCAAATGTTTACACTGTAATTTTCCCAAGACCAGTTTGCCTGCGCATGTCTCTCTCAGCAGAGGCTGCACATGGCCTGCCAGACAATGACGCTATCATTTACTGGACCAATTTTCTTGAATAGTCAATCAGATTTTTCTTTTTCTTTTTTTTTTTTGGTTCTAGTTGGTTAGTATTTCAAACCTAGGGCAGAGGAAACTCTTGGCTGTATTTCTTTGTGTGTTTGCAAAAGCTTATTTGTTGAATTGCCAAGTGAGCACATCATAAAAATAAATAACGGCTAAATTGCCCTTTAAAAATGAAACCCTGATTTTTGCTCCCAAGAACATGAAAATGCCTGCTTCGCCCAGCCCACTCCACACCCAGCAGGAGCACAATCCTCACACTTCTCATAGCTCTTAATCTTCCAGGCATTTCAATATGTTTTTATTGTTGTTGGGATTCTTGCGTCTTGTTTCAGATTTGTTTTCTTTGTAATCATAATGCTGTGCCTGGCTGTGCGTATGCATGTGCTTGCAGGTATCCATGGGGGCCAGCAGAGGGCAACAGAGCACCGAAGCTAGAGCTGCTAGTATGAGTCACCTTAGGTGGGTGCTATGGATGGAACTCGGGTCTTTTGTAAGTGCATCCATTCCTCTTAACCACTGTGCATCCCTCTGGCCCCAACAGTTTAATTTTGCAAGACAGGATCTCACTGTGTAACCCAGGCTGGACTCAAACTTGTAGTAATCCTCTTGTCTCAGCCTTCCCAGTGCTGGGATTATAGACGTGCACCCCATCACTCCTGATAATCTGCTAGAATTTTAAAGTTTGTTTGTTTGTTTTGTTTTTCAAGACAGGGTTTCTCTGCTTAGCCTTGGCTATCCTGGACTCGCTTTGTAGACCAGGCTGGCCTTGAACTCACAGAGATCTGTCTGGTTCTGCTTCCCAATTTTTAACATTTTAAAAAGTCTACATTTTTTTTCTTTTCCTTTCTTTTCTTTTAACTATTTCTATTTTCCCCAAGATTCCTGTTTTTGTGTCGTTGGTTTATCTTTTCTTTTTGTTTTGTGCTGCCATTGTTTCTGTTGATCAGCTCGTCTTTTTCCTTACTGGTTTATAACTAGTTTCGTAACTAAGGAAATGAGGCAGTTTTTCCACATGTGCACGTGTGTTTATGTGTGTGCATCTGTGTGTACATACATCGATCACCCTGTACTGTGTACTGTGGCTGTACTGTGTACTTCAGTGTTCTGTGTATACTGTACTGTGGCTTCAGTGTTTGCAGTCGTCAAGGTCAGTGGGTCCTATGGCTACACAGCCTCTGCTGTGGTCGCTTGGTGCTTTCCAAGCGTGTGGTCTCCTCAACCTCTGTGCAGTCAGATGCTTGCTGCTGCACAGAAATGTGCTGATAACCAAAGTCCGGGTGTAATTTGCTGCTTTGAATAAGCACGTTGAGGTTTGGGAAGGGCACAAAACCCACAGCCTGAAGTGTGTTTGTCAGGTTGTTAAGTGATTTCAGAGAATGAATCCCTGCCCCGGGGATTTCATTAACATACCCCCCCATCACCACACAGGAAAAGGTGACTGGCTCCCCTCCCACCTCCCTTCATCAGCTCACCTGAAAGGTGGCAGGTTTTCACGGCATTTTCCACCAGCGTCCGGAACACCTGGAGGACTTTGGCTGGCACGATGTCCCCCTCAATGTTCACATCTGCCTGGTGCCACGGCCACAGGGCCTTCACGAACTGCTCAGTCTCTAGCCACTGTTGCAGGCCTTCAGGGTCCCGCAAAGGGCAGGTGAGCTTGGCGCCCTGCAAGTTGTAGTACCGCCAGCGCTGTGCCCGGGCCCCCCTGTACCCCGCAAGGCCTTTCAGGGGGACTGTGATGTGGAACAGGCTGGGGGCCAAAACCTGAGGTCAGAAAAAGAGAGAGAGAGGAGCTGAGTTCACACCCCGGGGGAGGTGATAGGCAGAGGGGTGCCGACCTGTCCAGCCAGGCAGCTCATGTGAACACTCCAACCCTCAGCAATGTGGTGAGGTACGCAGAAAAGAGACCCGGGGTGACTGAGAATTACGTGTCTGTTTTGCCACGAACCCATCTGTGTGGCAGACAGAGTGACTCAAGGAGCTCAGGGGTTTGTGAGGCAACAAGTTAAACACAAAGAAAACCCAGAACTCTGGAGGGACCTGAAGTTTAGCAGAGAAGGAATGGAAGGGAAATAAATCCACTGAGCCCACCACGCAACCCAAATCTCTGGCTGTGCCTGTCGCTTCTCTGAAGCTACACCAAGAGGTAACTTTGATACCACTTCCCGAGCGAGTGACCTAAGGCTCAGAGGGACTCGCAGACCACCCCAGGGACACTGACAGTAAGCACAAGAGCAGGAACTGGGTTCTTGTGCTAGTTTGTTCAGGGGTTCTACTCTTGCCTGGTTCAGGAATGCATGTCTTGGGGTAGCTGAGCGTTCTGGTACAAAAGAGAATGAGACAGAACTTGAAAGTGCCACCCTTTCTTTTCACCTGTCACAGTGACCCAGGTCAGTGTGAATGACTAACCCTTTCAGAAGCGTAATGAAAGCCTGTCTGTGGATAATGTGAGCCATTGAGATGATGAGGGAAAATGGAGGTGAAGCCATCCACTCCCACCCTGCAGGAACCAGTTAAGCAGTGGCCGGGAAGAAAGCCGGCGGCCATGCAATGCAAACGACACTGTAAACCGGTTGGCACTGCGGATCTGTCAGATGGACCCTGAGCTCTGGCTGTGCTCAGACAGCTCACTGGCAGCCTCTTTGTTCATTCTGCTACATCTTCTTTGAAGAGAGTTATTTAAGGTTCAACGGCAGGAAATTTTTGTCCCTGGTCTGGGCAGCGACCAATTCAGCTGCAACTGATCCCCCCTTCACTCTCAGAGAACAGGTGATGGTTTAGATAACGGTACCATGTGACTTCTGGTGTCCAGAGGCTGGGAGGACAAAGGCCTAAACTACAAGTTTCACATGATTTGGACTCACTTGCACATGAGTTCAAGAGTACAGCTGTGGGGCTAGGCAGGTGGCCCTGTCCATACAGTGCTTGCCACACACGCATGGGAACCTGAGTCCCAATCGTCAGCACCCACCAAAAAGTGAGGTGTGTAGTTGCATGCCAGGAATCACAGCGCTGGGGAGGCAGAAACAGGCGGATCTCCACGGCTTGTGACCATCCACCATAAATGAACCACTGAGCTCCAGGCTCAGCGAGAGACCCTGTCTCAACAGGCGAGGTTGACTCTGGCTTCCACAAGGACACTCACACCCACGGAACACATAAACAGGTACACACACATCCACCCCCACCCACGTTCCCCCAACAACGACATCAAGTAAAGACTAAAGCTCCTTGATTTGCCAGTCACACAAATCGTGTGCAATAAATACGCACCAAATTTAGTCCAGGGTATGAATGAAAGCCACTTTACGTGTTTTGTGTTGTGTTGTTTTTTGTTTTGTTTTGTTTTGTTTTGTTTTGTTTTGTTTTGTTTTAAACAGGGTCCTGTATCCCCGGCTGGTGTCAGATTTGACAAAGGTATGTGGTGGTTTGGATGAGAATTTCCCCCAAAGGCTCAGGTATTTCACTCTTGGTCCCCAGCTGATGCCACTGTTCCATTCCGGGAGGTAGTGTGGCCTTGCTGGAGGAAGTGTGCCACTGGGGGCAGGCTCTGAGAGCTCAGACCCTGGCTGCACTTCCAGTTCACCATTTCATGTTTGTGGTTGAAGATGCTTTCGGCTCCGGCTGCCACACCCACTGCCTGCTGCCAGGCCTTACCACCACAACAAGCTCAAAGGGACCATCTCCTCCAGAGGCTGCTCTGGTCGCAGTATCTCATCACGGCAACAGGGAAGCAAAACAGCACTCTAACACATGTCAAAGGGGACCGTGCATGTGTCATGCTCCAGCCTCATGCTCCAGCTACCCTTCCCGAGTGCTGAGATCCTGTGTGCTGGGCCTCATGCGTGCTAGGCAAGCATTTTACCAACTAAGCTGTATCGCCGACCCCACTTCAAAGCCTAATAAGCAGGGCATGATGTTAGTCAGCACAGGATATGTTTTGAGCTGTCGGTCTGGGGAGAGCGATGCAGTGTTGGTGTCTCTAGTCCCGGAGCTATATTTGCCTGATTGAGACTGGCCTGAGAAGGAAGAGGTGGGCAAGTGTTCTAAAGTGATGGGCTCAAAGCTAGTTTTACGAGCTTCCAGCCTTGAATAAGTTTCCTGAAATTGGACTCTGCCAAAAAAAAAAAAAAAAAAAAAATCTACAGGTCTCAGAACCTTGTGAGTGGACCTTGTACCCAGCAGCCCGAGACGCACCGGGCCAGCCTTGGTTCTTGGTACCATGTTCATACTTCATAGGCTGAAAGTGCGCATATTAGATGCTGGAAGAGAAGCAACGAGTAAACACGCTCCTTAGAATCAAGGCTCCCGGTGGGAGAACAGGCCATGGAAAACTAATGCAAGGGGAAAGAAGTTTGTGTACAGAAAGATTGAGACCAAGAATGGTGAAGATCAGAAAGACACAGGAATCTGCCTTCCTGATTCTTGGTGGAGATGAGCCTGCAGCCCTGCCCACGGGCTGGCTGGGCGTCTGTGTGAGATTGCAGCTGACTGTCACACACTGGCCCTGGTAGGTAGACTCCGTGGCATCCCTCAGCACTCAGGGGATACATTCAAAGCACTTCTACAGTCCCTCGAGGCCTCTTGTACCTTCTTCCTTCCCCTCACCTGTACCCCAGAGACTACGGCCTTCAACTGCTTTCCCATCAGTTCCTCCATGACCTCTGCCTAGTTCCTTATCTAGTTATATTTATCAGTTGTGCTTAATAAATGAGCAGGCTCTTAACTGAGCTTTGATCACGAGGCAGCATGCTTCAGAATCAAAGTCTTTGGAATGAGATCCAGCTTTAGAGCCAAATAGGACTCAACCAAGAGCTTTGGTTTCCTCAGCCCTACCTAGCCTCTGTGGTCTAGGGGTGTGGGAGCTCCCATGAGGAAAAGCTTCATGTAAATGGTGTCTGGAAGAGCAGCTGTGGAAACCTGAGGCAGCACAATGTCCTCAGAGAGCTAAGATCCTCTCACACCCAGAGGCCCTCCCATCCAAGGGTTTGGGTGCTTCCTGAAGCTCCTCAGACATCCAGAGCCCTGCTTACCTTAATGCCGTCGTTGTATGTGTCAGAGGCGGCCACCGCTTGGAACCGACTGTCCTGGTGGCTGACTTCTGCCGTCAGGCAGTGGATGACTTTCTGCACCTCCTCCACAGTCTGAGAAATCTGCTGGCGCCTCAGGTCCACCTGGGTGCGAGGAGATCGCAGAACAGTTATTGGGCCTGAGGCACTGGTACAGGTGATAAGGCAAAGGCACAGGTTCAGGGCGAAGATCTTGTCTCCCAGGGCTCCAAAGGTGTTCATTTGCTTTGCTCTGACACTGACCAATGTGACATTTGTTTTCTTCTGAAACAGGTGCAATCCCTCAGTATTTATCCAGGGCTTACTCCTGGGCAGAGGCTGTCCAGCAGCAATTAAAGCAACAGTAAATATGGAAGGGTGGGGTTTGGGGTTGGGAGTATGTCCCATTGTAGCATACACCTGTAATCACAGCACATGGGAGGTAGAGGCAGGAGGATCAGAAATTCAGGACCAGCCTTGGCTCTGTGGTGAGTTCAAGGCCAGCCTGGGTCACATGAGACTCTGTAACAACAGCTCAGTTTCTCTGTTCAGAAACATGTGGTCGTGCATGCCTGTGTAACTGTGCATAGGATTGTTGGGTCATATCAGTTTTTAAAAGTGTCGAAAGGAATAAAGACCAGTGGGTAAGGAGTGTGGCCATTTCGGAGAAAGAGGTCAGCGAAGGCGACATTTGAGTGAGTCGAGAAGATAGGTCTGGAAAGCAGATTCTCAAAACTACTCAAAACAGCCAGATAAGAAAATCCCAAGTGAAAGACTTTCCACCTAAGCTAAGTCATCCACCACTCCAGCCACCCGAGAGCTCCTGCAGAGACAACCCACAGAGAGACAGAACACGATTCGAGAACACACCTATCTGCACAGGTTTCATGGCCCACACAGAGTCCGTCCACTGATAAATATTTAGTTAGCACCAGCTGTATGCGGGGTACAGCTGCATGCTAGGTCACAGCAACAACGCAGACAGACTCGACTATGCACTTACAGCCCTGGAGAAGGCGCCTGAAAGAGAACGCAAGTGTGGGGGCTCCATCATGGGACAGTGTGGGGTGCCGCCTCTGGATAGAAGAGAGGGAACGCCTAATCTGCATGCTGGGATCTCTTTGATAGGTACAACTCCACCTACAAAGCACTGTCTTTGGGAAGCAAACTTGTACTGTTCAATGCCAAACACTACACTGGACAGCAATTACCCGTAGCAATGTATTCACCACGAGTCATGGCGCTGAGGGGCCCTCTTTGAATGGCTGTGCCCTGGGGAGGCTCTGCATCTTCCAGACTGCTACTGGAAGAAACAATGTCATCACAGGAAGTCGGGAAGTTCAGACGTCAAAAATAAAGGAGGGCACTTTTGGAGACCTTTGGTTAAAGGTCCTCATAGATACGGCTTCCCCTACATGGCCGATTCAATTCCATCTGGCCAGTTTTCACTGAACTTGTACTTTTTGCCAGACAGATCGTCAAAGTAAGATAGAGTGAGATGGATTAAAATAGTCACAGTCAAGTGCTGGGAAAGGCAGCCAAAGGCTGCTGGGGGACAGCAAAGGGACATTTGTCTAATCTGGAGGCCAACGGTCCTTCCTGGAGGCAGAAGGTAAGGTTAGAGGGAGTCAGTCAGGGGCCAGGGACCTGTCTGGTTGGCAGAATGAGTGCTTGCACGATGCCCTGGATGCCAGCACCAGAACTCCAGAAACTGGGCATGGTATGCTTACGTATAGTCCCGGTGCTTTGGAAGACGGAGCAGGAAGAGCAGTCTTGGCTTCTCAGAAAGTCCTGGGCTACACGAGACCCTGTCTCAACGTGTGTGTGTGTGTGTGTGTGTGTGTGTAAGGCGGCAGGTGCTGAGAGACCCACAAGTGTCCTTAGAGGTTCCCAAACAGAACAAGATGAGGACCGAATGACCAACTCTTGAGGACAAAAGATCACCACTCCTCAAGAAGCTTGACCACGGAAGCAAACAGATTAGACAAACCAGCAGGGCCAGTGGCAGGCTTTCTCAAACGGACACAGAGACTTAGTTAGGCATGTTTAAACACGGAGAGAAGTATCACTTCTGAAGAAAGAGGCTGCACACTGAGAAGGGATTTCCCAGGAGGAAGGCTCATGCAAATTCCCAGGAACTAACCACCACCTTGCTTCAGAAGGAACTAAGATGGGGAAGACAGGGGAAAGAGAAGGGATGCTGGGAACTGGAGAGATTTCTTGCTTGGAGTCTACTTTCTCCACAGGGTACAAGACAATATGGAAATGGGAAGCTGGAGGGGGATGAGGGACGGCTTAGGTACATGTATGTGTACATGGCGAGGGAATAGGGAGTTGCAGCCATGGCGAGGCTTGCTATGAGGTTGTGGGGTATGGGTGAGCTCAGTTGTAAGACAGTCTGAAGTGGAGGTGCTGGGTCTGGGGTGTGCGAGGCCAGAGTTGGAGGGCTGGGAGCGAGGTGGGGTTTCAGTCACTGGCTTTCCAGCCTGAGGAAAAAATGCTGCCAGTCAGGAAAGTGCCCCAGTCATGGGGCACTGAGCAGGGACTAGTCTGCTAAATGAGTGTGGTGGGGAACATTACACAGGATCGTTACAAGCAGCACAATACAAAGGCCATGCAAGATGTTCTGACTAGGTAGAATACTGTGGTTAGAGCGGCTAAGTTCTCCGAAGGCATGGAGGACCAAGGCTAATAATAGTAATAACTGATAGTCCCAAACTCCACAAATCTTTAAGTTCATGGGTACGGTTCCACAGAACTTGAATGTGAAAAAAACCAATAAACACACACATACATGCATGCACGAAAATGCATGCGCACAGACACACACACACACATTCACATGTGCAAACACACGCTCTTGCATTCCAAAGCTAAGTGTCCTAGCTTTCTATTGCTATGGAGAAAAGCATATATTTAGCTTATACATTCATATTCCAGCATCAGGGAAGGCAAGGCAGGAACTTGAGCAGGGCAGGAACATGGAGACAGAAACTCAAGTGAGACCATATAGGACTGCTGCTTACTGCCTTGCTCTCTGTGGCTTGCTCAGCTGTCTTTCTTATGCAGCCCTGGACCCCCTGCCCTGGAGTGGTGCCACCCACAGTGGGCTGTACCCTCCCACGCCAATCATCAATCAAGAAACTACCGCCACAGGTTTGCCTACAAGCCAAACTGATGGAGGCATTTCCTCGGTCAATGTTCTCTCTCCAAAATGACTCTAAGCTAGGCTGGGCATGGTGGTGGCTTCCACAGCCATGGGAGGCAGAAGCAGGTAGATCTCAGAATCTGAGGCCAGCCTGGTCTACAGAATGAGTTCCACAACAGTCAGGATTACACAGAGTGTCAAAAACCAAACCAAATCAAGCCCAAGCCAAACCAAAACAACCACAACAAAGGCTCGAGCATCTGTCAAGTTGGCAAAAAGACGAACCAGCACACAAAGAAAAGGTCCCACTACAGTATTGATATTACCAGGAAGAGGGCAGAGGGCAAAGCGCCCTGCAAAACAGCCCTCCTTGGAGAAAATTCTCCACTGTGAACTTGACCGCTGGGCAGAGCAAGCTTGAACGCATCCTGGAAGGTGCCTATAATCACTCTGATTATCCAGGTGCTTAGCTCATCATCCTGATGTGTTCTGATCTGCAGCTGTGAAAGTCAGACCAGAGGACTCAGCCATAGGGAAGCTAAGATGACAGATTCTTCTCCGCCACTTCTGACGCCTTGAACTTAGCATCTTAGAATCATGTCACCTTCAGAAATCACCTTACCTGGTGTCTCTGAATAGAGGACCAGAGCAGTGGGTGGCTCTCCCATGTCACACTGGCAGTTAGAAGGAGAACTAGCCCACGAGCACAGGGTTTCCAACGCCATTTTCCAGCACTCTTTACCACACCCTCCAGGACAGGAGTGCTGTGAGTAGAAACTCTCTCTCCCCACTCCTCACCACCCCCTTAGCCTCTTCCTGGACCTAGAAAAGGAGTCAGGGCTCATAGAACATCGAGTCTAAGGCTTCTGTTTTGTGCATGCTACTGACTATTCTTGCATGCCACGAAAACTCCAGGGTAACACAGCAGGTGCCAGACAGTGGTGTGGGCATAGATCAGAGCCTTAGACAGGTCTGTCCCCACAATGCCTAGGCTGCTGAAGCTGGGAGCAGTTTTCATTAGGTGATGCTCTGCCCACTCCCCCCACCAGCAGGTTGTATCCTAAGCCTAGACCCTGGCAACCCCCTGAATTATTGCCCTCACTAATCTTGACTGAGCCCAGAGAGATAGAACAAGAGGACCAGACCTCTGGGTAAGAAAATGCAGAGATGAGGCGGACGGCAGGGAGTGATTTGGGGAAAAGATGGATGCTTTGCCACAGTGCAAGCCTTTCCAAGCCCAGTCCAGAATCCTTTTCCCTTATAGTCTCTCAATTATCAATGAGCCAGCAAAACAGACTCACTGCCAATTGTATTTCAGACAAAGAAAAACTTGAAAATAAATATGGGGTGGGGGGACAGGATAATTGGAGAAAATGGACTGGAGACATAATTCAATCCAAGTTTGATCTTGGGGCTTCTCCAGGTGTAACCTACCTCTTCTGCTGATAAAGTCAACCAAGGAACCAGAAAAGGCCCGGCCTCTCTTTTCAAAGGCTGCATTGTGGGTGTGGCAGAGCCCAGGCAGTCCCAAGCCACACTTAATTACCCAGGCATGGAGGCTGGATGCTCCAAGGTCACCCAGGGCAGCGGATGGGCACGCCACAGCTTTGCCCGGGGCCTCCCACTCCCCAGGTGCGTCTACGTGCCTGCACAGACGTCCCTGTCTCATCCCAGGCTCCCTCCCCTCCTTCCCGGGCTCTGGCTTATTGTTGACACACAAGTCACTTGCTGCTATTAATAGCTCAGGTTTGTGAATAATTTACTTTTTCAAACATAAATTATTGGGAATTCTAGACTGATCCTTGGAACAACAGCATGCTGACTCACAAGTGTTGTAACCCTCTTCCTTGAATTCCATGGAAGGGCACTTAAGCAGCATTTGGGAAAAGCTGTTTGGGGCGTGGCTGCACCCAGAACAGGTGGTCTACATGGATCAGCTGGAAGACAGGGAGGGAAAATGGCTGAGCACTTCCTCCCAGACAACAGAAAGTAAGTTAGGCTTTTAAATCTTGGAATTGCTTTGAGGCCAATGATAGTTTAAACAGAATAAACAGGCACTTTCCTTGTACTCTAGAGGCTCCCGGCTTAGAGAGAGACAGACAGACATTTCGTGACAGGAGCAGAGGAGACAATGGGCTAACTCTCAGGCTGGCTCTGGGAGGAATGCTGGGACCACCTGGTGTTCGTAGCTCCGGGCTCAGCAGCAGCATGGCAGAGCTGGGGTTACTCAATCCTTCCAGGGTACCAGGTACTTTGCAAGAACAGGAGCACCGGAGCCTCCTCTACTGTAGCATTCATGATGTTTCCGTACTATAGATGGGAAAATTGAGACTCAAGAGGCAATTTGCACCAGAGTTATAGGCAGGCCATATTTACTAGCTCAGATTCTGCTTCCCTAAAAGGAAGGGCAGCTGAATACAAAACCCCTGTCAAATAGGGGTGGGGGGTAAACCAGTTTTCCTCCTGTACTTTTCCTGTTCATCTATCAAAACCTATTACATCCTCCAAGCCCTCGTATCCATTCCTTTCTGTGGACCACTTCTCCCATCAGAGCCAAGGCCCTTCCTTTTGCTCTGCAGGTCTCTCCATCACAGCCTGGGGTCTGCCGCAAGCTGCAGTTGGCCCTCTGACTTTACATAGAATGCCCCCTTCCTCCTGGGCATTAAGAACAGACTCTGTGGGTACACCTGGCCATCCCTCGGGCATGCACAGTTTCTTTCCCATTTAACAGACCACACCTCAGCTTTTGAGTTTCCACAAACCGCAGAGCAGGATCTGACATGAAGTAGAGGTTCTGTGTGCGCCTGTGCGATAAAGAGCTTGAACAGAGGAGATACGGCCTCTGGGCCCCAGCAGTTGCGCTGACACCTCAGCACCTTTCCCATACAGCCATGGCACTTTAGCCAAGTCAGTTCATCTCGACAAACCTCTCCCTTCCTCTATAGCAAGGGAGGGTGGTTAATGGCCACAATGAATGTTAGGGCGCACCTCAACCTGTCAGCGCCTCACAGTGTTTTTCCTTATCTTCAGTGGACTCTGATGGCATTTCAGACCATATCTGTGCAAGACACTCTGGGGATATGCAACCAAAAGAATGTGTCTGGGATACCGTTGGTCCCTCTGAAAAGGTAGAAGGAAACGCCAAAGTGTAAGTCAGCGGCCACGGCAGTGCTATGAGTCAGTGCACAACTAATAACCAGTGTCGGCTCCACAGTTCCCAACATGACACAAGTGTTCTATGCCCCAGTGTTAGAGAACCTTTAAACCAACTCTGAGCCAACGACCAACCAACCAAACAAACAAACAAAAGGTAGGCCTAAGGTTTGTTCTTAGGGGGCAGAATTAAAGGCTAACCCACCTTCAAGAAAAAGAGATGAGCAGGGAGGGTGCTCTCAGACTGAAGGCAAGGGCCTGGGGCCTGCTGAACCCTAGCTGAGATACATTCTAGCAAGCACTCAGCCATGATTTCCAGGCCAGACAACAGACTCAAAGGATCTGATTCTTTTTATCCCCACAGGAGACAGAAGTCCAGGTTCCTATGTTTCAAAATGCCTATAAAAGAAAACTTTAGAATATGCTCTAGAGATCAAACAGACCACGAACCCAGGCTGGATTCCACATGAGGAATACCATGTATGATTTCTACTACTGGGAATGCCCAGAGACTAGAGGGTTGAAGGACTGGACAGGTGAAATCACTTGAATGCCAGGCTAAGGAAATTGGAATGTTCTTGTTTTTCTAGAGAACATAGGACCCCAGGAAGATGCCAGGCAACAGCACTTCTGTAGAGGAGGAATGGGAAATCACCTTGTCCACGATTGTTTTTCATACACATAGATTTTCCTTATTCTCCCTTGATGGCTTGGTCTAAAAAGTGTACTCTTGTCTCATTGTGATAAAATCTTTGCTCTGTTTACATAAAAGGCATGAAAGCCAGAGCCCAGTCCCCGCCTCTCAGCTTAAACCGTTTTGTCTAAACATTAACAATATGCCTTAGAAGTTTAGGGTGTAAGTGGAACAATAGAACAGCTTAAATTAAATAATATTTTAGGCAAAAAAAACTTTGTCTTAAGTTCATTTGCTTTCTTTTTTCTTTTGAGGCAATGTCCCATGTAGCCCAGGATACCCTCAACTTCTGATCCTCCTGCCTCCACTTCTCACATGCTGCTGATATCACATGTGTGTGTCATTGTGCCTGTGCCTGGCTACCCATTTCATTTAGACCCACGTTTTATGGAAAAGAAGTCCGAGGCTCTGGTAATTAACTGGCCACACGAGATTCTGTCTCTAGAACCTCAGAGACAAGATCCGACTGTGTAAACCTCCTCAGCAAGCTGAGGGTAGTGGTGCTAGGTTCCCGAGAACCATCTAAGATCTCCAGAAGCGGGGACTTCTTCTGACCAGTGTCTGTGGGGTGGAGAACTAGAGGGTGTGCCCAGGAGAGGCCAGCCCTGGCTCACCTTACTCAGCAGGCAATCGTCTGAGCCTCCCTCTGGAGGAGACTTCATGGCTTCTTGGCCGATCCCCAGGATAGCAGCAACCTTCTGTTTCCTGTCCCGGTGGAGGACAAATCTGGTGGGCAGCTTTCCCAGCAACGTTACTCTCTGGATGAAACTTCTCTGCAGTTGTGAGCACGGACCAGGCACTTGGCCTCTTCTTGAGTGCTCACTGAAGTTTTCCTTTCCAACCTGGGAGACTCCATCTGCCATCTTTCAGGGAATTACAGAAAGATTAAAAAGGAGACTTGGTGAAAATGAATGGGAGCCTGTCTGTGTTACCTGATGTTGGCTTATCCTGTTTTTGTATACTCCTGTCCTGACACCAGGTGCACCTTGGTGCCTACTATCTTTATATCTCTTTGTCCACATCCTGTTGACAGTAAATATCCCTTGCCCTCCACTCCTAAAAAGTCTGCAATTGATTTACTTCCTTACCATAAACAAATAAGAAATTGCAAACAGGCCAGCTGGTTTCTCACCATCATGCCCAGCACAAGCCTTGTCAATCACATGAGGGCCAGGACTGGCATTTAGAAAAGCATGAACTCGCAGAGACACTCCTGTATACAGAGGTATATACAGGCATATGTAGTCTTCCCTCTCTCCCTCTCTCTCTCATACACACACACACACACACACACACACACACACACAGAGTGGAGACATACACACAGAGAAAGCAAAACAACTACGCTCGCGTGTGCGCGCACGCACGCGCGCGGGCGCGCGCGCGCACACACACACACACACATACACAGGCTTACAAACAGGCAGATACATGCAGAGAAAAGTAGGGCAGAGTTCTACCTCTCACCTGCTGACCTTAGAATGTGATTTCCTTCTCCCACTTGAAGGCTGGCGTTCAAAATAAACTCAGTACGAACAGGCCCCTTAAGAGTCTAGGACACATCTAGTTTTACCAGTAAAACTCATCTTAGAAAACAGCTCAGACAGTAAGTTCCCAGTCTGACTGGCTGGAGCTAGTTTTACTACAGGGGGGAATATCCCAGAAGCCTGATATTCCTGAAGCTCTTAAATATCACAGCCTGTGTCACAGTGAGCCATAGGACTGACAGCAAAGCTGGCAGTCAGGCTCACATCTGAGCAAGGCTTCCAGGCAGGCAGCTCCCCAAACCAACCTCCTTGGTGCTCAACCACAGCCAATCCAGCCTTTCCACTCTCTCCTGTGGCCCCATATTTGCATATCCTCCCAGACAGCTTCTGGGGAGAGCCACCTCAGACCCCACCCACCTCAGACCCCGCCCACCTCCTGCCTTATAAGGGCACCTTCACAGGACTCCTTCTGCAAGTTCAAGGTCTTACACGGGTCTGGAAAAGTTGAGGATCCACAAAGATCCTTAGAATCCCCCTGCAAACTGCCTTGATTTTCCATGTTATGCCCTTTTTATGGCACATGATCTCGTATGGTCCAGAATCTTCTTCCTTTGGTTCCCTTTTGTTACCCTGGTCATCATCCCAATCTACCACATCAGTTCTTCACAAATAAAACAAGAAGCAATTCCCCTTAACCTGCCTCTTGGAATTCTCTTTTCGCGTCACTTTCAATGGCACCGAAGTCCCCATTTCCCCCACCTGCTTCTGTTTTTGTCCTTGCTTCTGCTTTTGCTAGAATCATTACCTCAGAGTTTCTGTCCTCTGAGAGACCCTTTCCTGGTAACAGTAAAGTGGTCCTGGGTTTCTGGAATCAACTGTCCCAAACCTTCATATTCTCAGATAACTGAGCTACGGGAGGAACGCAGAGAAGGAAAGGCATCGTGAGCTCAGGGCAGCTGCCTGCAGTTGCATTCCCTGTAGATGCTCATCAGATCTCCGTGTGTTGTGAGAACACAGCTCAGACTCACTGGATGGCCTGGTTCCTAGGAGGTAAGGCTCCATAGCACAGCACTATGGCACAGACACGGGCTCTGGCAGCTCCTATCAGACAGGCTGAGAAAAACAAGCTTTCCTGGCAGATACCGATCTCTAGATAATTGGACAACAGGGCAGCAAAACTCTGTTGAGAAAGAGTGTGCCTGGAGCACTGTGCTAGCATCAACAGGGACCCAGTTAATTCAGGCTTTCCTCCTTCCTCTGGAAACAAAGTTTTCATTCTTCATGACTCATAGCAAGGCAGGTTTGAAAATGGAAGCCAGCTTGAGCTCCAACAGGGCAAGCGAGATGGCTCAGCAGATAGAAGAGTCTGCCACTAAGCCTGAGGAGCTGGGTTAGATTTCTCCTCGCCTCTCAGGTAGAAGGAAAGAGCCAGCTTCCTCAAGCGCACCTACACACACACACACACACACACACACACACACACACACACACACACAC